TGCGATAGAATACCAAGATAGGTTTGAGGTGAAACCCACTGAAGAGAATATTTTGTGTTAGGGTTAGGAAGAAAAAGTAAATAAAATCAAAGCTCATCTGCAGAATTTTATTATTTCCTTGTAAAAAGAAATGTAAGTGTTGGTTGTCTCCAGTTTTCTTTGGCTCTTAAAAATGGAACCAAGCAGATTTTAAACCAGTTGTTAAGTCTCTAAAATATCCAAGAACATGATATGCCCGTGTTGCCTTTGATAAGCTTAACTTTGTTGGTAGCCCAGGTTGCTCGAGTATGAGTTTTCTGGTTTGTGAATTTTGCATTTTTAAGAGATGCCTTCGTGGACCGTTGATAGGAGCCATTGGCGGGCTCCACCTGCAGCCTTATCTCAGGAAACAGGTCTCACAAAGCTGAGTAGGAGCTTGCGATAAGGAAGAAGAGGAATGAGCAGGTCCTCGTGTCTTCAAAGTGAAAATTCTCCTGTGGATTAGACCAAGGGAGTCCTCCCGTTGGAAGTGACACAGAACCTCCCATCGTGCCTTTCCAACTCAAGTTCTTGGTAAAGAGGGGTTAGTTACCCTCAGGAGAGCAGAGTCCTGTTGAAGGGTGTGGCAAATGTTGATCTCTGACTATAACTCTCTGCTTTGGGATGCTAACCCAGACTGGCTCAAAGGCAGGTAGAAGCTGCTTGCCCACACAGAGTCAGGTGTGGATTTGGGTTTCCATCTGGAATGCCCTTTACTTGTGCAGTGAGAAGCCAGGATATGCAATAGAATAGGTGCTGGAGGAGGTATCCACCCCACTGTGGGCAGACTGTTTGGATCTGTATTAATAACAGCCTCTCCCACGGATTAGCTAGTCCAAGCTTTGGCGCTTTATTTCCTTCCAGAAGTAATGGAGTGTGTACCCCTCTGTAGTACGGGAAAAATTAGTTCAGATGTCAGCTTTTTTTTTTCCTCCCAAGAGGGGCTGGACGCCTGGTAGGGTGCACAGTCACATGGTCTTCAGATCCTTTAAAAGCTGATTTTCCTGGGCCTAATCCCAGGGGACTTGGACATAGTCTGTGGTAATTGTTGATTCAGCTCTATTGGTGTTGAACCTCCATGAGAAATTCAAATAAGAATTCTCTCCCACACACACACCCCTGTCCCCCTGCCCCCTCCCCACCGCCCTGATAAAGGCAAACAGTAAACCAGATTAGTCCTTCCTGGTTGCCTTTTCTTTAGGATTAGGAGAAAAAGAAAGCCAAGGAGCAGATTCAGAAATAACCCCATTCCCCCATGGTGTCATAAGAGGCTGGAACTCTTGAGGGCAAAGGTCAACAGCAAGTGCCAACTAGGTGCTGGCTCGTGGTCCCAGCAGGACTGTCCTGCCACTGCCAAGAGTTTCTTGTTAAAAATGGGTCTTCTGACCTTTCGTGCCTGGGCATTCTCAGGAGCTCAGATGTTTGTGAAGCAGGCTCAAGGACTCGCAAGTTCAAGTCACTGGCCGATTGTTGGGAGAAACCCGGAGTTTCTGAATTTCTAGGTAATGGGGGTGGGGCAGGGCCGCATTCAATGAGACTGTGAAATCTTGTGAACCCAGAGTTTGCCCTGTTGCTGGCCTGAGCAGTTTGCCCCCTTGAGGCTGATGAGAGTGAAGGACCCCAGGTAATCGCCCGGTCTCAACCTTGCCCACAGGCTTGATGAGATTTAATATGCTACTTAGGAGCTTCCCAAAATCGGCGCAACTCTCTTCCTAGGGTACGCTGCATTTTTAGTTGTTTAAAAATATACCCTGAGACAAATTTCAGGACACCAAGTGGCCTAGAAATCAGTTCAAAGGTTATTCTCTTCCTTCACTCCACAGAACTTGGGCATTCCCATGTTGGTCTCAGCTGCCGTCTCAGACAGTTAATTCTTTTTAGTACATGTCTGAGCAGATGTGGACCTCCCAAAATGTTCTGAGGAGAAGTAGACTTAGAGGAGTTTGCCCTGCTCTGTGAGGGAAGGAATTTAACAAGCATAGATCTTTCTGAGAAAGCCGCACACAGGTTTGTGAGATTGGCCGGAGAATACCAGTCGTCACAAAAGAGTGGGTCAGTGTTCCCGTAAAATCTTGCTTACCCGGTTAGCACTAATGTGTGCTAAAGTGCTAGAGGTGCATTCTGTTTTAGGAATCAGAGGGTGAGGAGGGTGATGGGGGGGGACTACACTTCCTTTCTGCAGCCATTCACAATGTCTTGTTGGACTTGAGCATAGAAAGAATCTTTGTCTCAGTGCTGATAACAACCTACCACCATCATTTACCGAAGATTTATTGTGTGCTCACTTTATGTTCATGCAAGTAAACTCCCATAACAACCCCATAAGGGAGACACTATGATTATTCCCATTTTTCAGATAAAGAATCAGAGACTTAGGGAGGGTAAGTGATGTTCCCAGATCGTGGCGCTTAGCCATCTGCCTGCTGTCTGGGCCTTAAACATCGAGCAGCATTTGGCCTCCGCTGACGTTGTCAAACGTGCTGGTCTCTGTTAACTTAGGATTTTGAATTGATTGGAGCTGCTCATTCTCACAAATACCCAGGATGCAGTCTGCACCTTCTACTGAAAGTGAGGTCCTTGGACCAGCAGCATGGCAGCACCTGGAAGCTTGTCAGAAATGCAGAACATCGGCTCTACCCCCGTCCCCCGCCAGGGATACTGTACCACAAGACCCCCAATTACACGCATGTTCAAGTTTGAGAAGCACTGCTTTCTGCCTTCAGAGAGGAATATATACTTCACTGTCTCCCTTCCTTCCCTCCCCTTTGTCTAATCTTGTCCAGTAGTTTTAAATTCTTTAAAAGTAACAGTTACAGAAAAATCACAATGTCTCAAAATATCTTACCAAGAAGTACTCAAAGCTGTAGAACCAGAAGCATGACAAGGATTTCTGAGCATTTTTGAATTGCTTTTGAGAAATTAAAGAAAAATTCAAATATCTAAAACGTCATGACTTTCAGAATTCACAGTAACATATAATTTATACACACGTGGGCCCAACTGGAACACGGAGGTCCGAGTGGTCCCAGAGACTCAGTTCATGCTGGTTTCACTTTGGGCCACGCTGCCTGGGCAGACGCTGCACAACACGGAGCCACCCACTGGTATATATGAGCCCTGTCGCTGGAGAGGAAAAGTGAGAACCAAGCTGTCAACAGCCCCAGTTCCTGCCAAACTCCATTTGCCTGCCTGCCAGCCAGGATTCTAAAAATGCATTTGGGAATTTTGACTTTTGGCTTTCACTGAATATGAAATTCTACTGTGTATATATAGCCTTGATAAGCTGACCCAGTTTAGGGATAACTCGGATATATTTTGTCTTACAAGATTCAGAATCCATTTCTAGAAGAGGTAATAATGAGGCCATTGAACGGATTCAAAGTGACTGTTTCTCCCTCTCAACCTCCTCCACCATGCGTAGGTCCCCATTCTGAAATTCCCATTCAGGTAGTCCACAGGACTGCAAACTATGATAGAACTAGGAGCAAAAACATTTGCTGGGGGCGGGGGTGGGGGTTCAGAGGACCATGGGGCTTTGTAACAGGCTGTAGAACCTGGTGTATTGGGCTAGCATCACTTTCTGGTCCCTCATAGGGGCAACATCAAAACACGATGTAAGAAAATGGAGGGGCTGGCCCAGTGGCGTAGTGGTTAAGTTCGGCATGCTCTGCTTTAGCGGCCTGGGGTTTGTGGGTTCAGATCCCAGGCGTGGACCTACGCCACTCAAGCCATGCTGTGCCAGTGACCCACATACAAAATAGAGGAAAGACTGGCACAGATGTTAGCTCAGCAACAATCTTCCTTAAGCAAAAAGAGGAGGATTGGCAACAGATGTTAGCTTAGGGCCAATCTCCCTCAGCAAAAAAAAAAAAAAAAGAAAATGGAGTCACTAAATGCTGCCTGCCACTTCTGCCTAAATTTTATTACTTTGGACTCAGTGTTTCAAAAGTTGAATTATTCAGGGTAAGCTTCAGTTTTGGCAGAATGGCATCAAACTGCGCCATCGTTACCAGTGCTGGGTCTTTGTTCTCCGAGAGGCAGATCTCAGAATGGTGAGGTGTCAGAATGAATGGTGTCAGCACTAGGACAGGGTCCTTACACCAAAGCCTTTTTTTTTTCTAATTTCAGATTAAATACATAAGTAAACACTTTTGTCACTCAGAGCATACATAACATTTAAAGAACGTGCAGTTTAAAGAACTGCCCACCTATCCATCAGGTGGTGTGTCCTGTGCTGCATGCTGGGGCACTGAACTACGACTGCCCTTCTCTGGAGGCTGTTGAAGGCTTGGGGAGGGAGCGCCTGGGATGTGACAGGTGACACAAATGGTGAGGTGCTCACTTCACACAACTGAAATGAGCCTTTTCTCCCAAGTCAGTTTCCTGCTGGCCTTACTAGCTTCAGAACAGTAAATGGCTAATGTACTTACCTCTGATGGCCTCATAGACTTTGGAAATGTACTTAAATTTTTTTTTTCTTAATGCCTTTGTTTCTGCACCCCTTCAGCCCTGCCCATAAATTGTTTTAAAGGCAGCTGAGCATAGAGCACAAGCCCATTTTTCTCCCTACAACCACAGGCATGCCTAACCTGTACCCAGTTTGCTTCACCTTCCAGTGCCCTCCCTGAAGACAGAAGAACAAAACTTTAATCCTCATGGGGCTTCTGAGGAGCCCAGGGAGCAGCTCGATTCCTACCGAAGGGAAAGGTCAGACCCCACAGGTGGCTCGGTCATACGTTCCTGACGCTGTCAAAAATTTCAGAACAGTCACAATTAAAAATATTTTATTTAAGTTTATACAAAATACAGTCATGTACTAAAATGTACATAACATTTTTCATTCAGTTTACATTTTAAAAAAGGACAACCGTAATTTCAAATACTTTCTGCTTACATGTCATGTAAACATTGTTCTGGGCCCATATTATTTACTAAAAGTGTGTCCACTTGTGGAGAGTTTCATGACCGTATAGGTGCTTTCAGATGGAGAATTAGACCTGCCAAACCGACTTCTCGAGCCCTGCACAGAACCACAACTTGCCGGATTCCAGGCAAAATGAGATTCTCTAGAGACATAACTGCAGCTTCACTGCAATATGAAGTTGTGGATGTACAGATTTCATTTTACACACACCAGTGTGCAAATCCTTAATCCATCTCAGCCTATCTGCATACATCTATTAGAAGGGTCGTGGCGGAAGAACGCAGATGCCCACAGGGGCACAATCTCTACTCAGGAACGTGGCCAGTGCCGCAGTGCAGGGCCCGACACACAGCTCACTCTTGTTTGGAGGTTGCCATGTTGGCTGCCATGTGAAGAAGTGCCAGTATACACAATTTGAATATATAAATATTTGAAAATGTTTGGACAGTCTTTTGACAAAATGTGCTCTTCGGTACATTTTGAGGGTCAAGTGGGGAAAAAAATAAAAGGGAATTAATAAAAGGAAAGTACATTCTGGGTTCTGCCAAACACATGGGCTTCAGAGGAAACACTGCTTCACATTTTAGTAGTTTTGTCCCTCCCTATTGATGTAACCATGTGAATACTGAAAAAGAACATCAAGGAGTGTGGATCTTGGTGCAGAAACCACCTCTCCCCACCTAGGGGGAAAAAAACCCAGGAAGCAATGTGTCAGGAAGCTCTCTTGAAAGCAAAATACAATTTACTCTACAACCAACTTTTCACAAAGCAGTTAATAGTGTGTGTATGGCGTTCAACTATAAATGTACCATCAAAAGTAGGAAGGTGTCACCATTAAGAAAAATGGCATCTTCGTTACTAGATTGTCTTTAAATAAAGTTAATCAACAAACTTTAAAATTTGATTTTCCTTGTAAATCTGTGATCAGTTCTGGAGACTGGACCCAATTCTGTCTACTGAGAACTGGGCAGCCCCAGAAAGAACCAAATTAATTGGCACCCATGGCCGCCCCTTGATTCTGTTAATAAACCTAAATATTCAACTTATAAGGAATTTCAAGCTCAACCACATTAATAAGCGCTTGGCCCTCAGGGCCTCCAAGACCGCTGGCCTCAAGCCATCTCAGTGCAATATTTATGACACAAGCACAGCCCTGAAGCATTGGTCCAGGTAGAAATGCCACACTGGGGAGCAGGCACACCCTACATTAGGCTCTTCTGCCACCACGAAAGCATTGCATCAGAGGCAGACAAAGCAAAAATTACACTGGTGTTGCGAATAGAGACATCACTGATCCCTGCCTTGGCAATAAATAATAATCTTTTGACTCCAAACTGGCAACCAAAGGGAAGAAATCTAATTATTAGCTTGCAATGCAGTATAGCTAGCAACTAAAAAAAAAAATTAGTTCTCCAGTCTGAAATTTGACTTGCTCTTTCACGGAAATTTTCCCTGAATCGGGAGATCACTGAGATTATGTGAGCTTTCTTCTCCCAGCGCAAGACAAACTTCAGCTGTCTTGAGAAACTTCTAAGCAGGCCCTTATCCTACACCTTGCACAAACATGTCTAAAAAGTGAAATCCGGACTAAATGACTCAAAGATGAAATGCAGTAATGATTCCATGCCTAATATAAACATCTATTTCAATGTTTACTTCAGACTGAACACCGTCAAAGCAAATGCTAGTGAAAATTACAAGCCTCTGCTATCTCTGGTTCTTACAATCAGACAATCAAGTTTATTCATGCTTCACCTTTACTTAGCATTGTTATTAAATAACCCTTGACATTTATTTTGTTGGCATGTGCTAATAAACACACACATTCCCAAGAGCGCAAAGGAAAAAGCCCAGTCCAGAGAGTTCTGTGTGAAGCCAATTAAGACACTGCCTCTGGGGCCTTGAGACCCTGGGCTGCAGAAATGGTTGCTGTGGAAACAAATTTGTCTCAGCATTTTTGGCAAAGCCAGAACCTACTGACTAACATGTCTTTAGATAGGATCTAGTGTAAACAGGGCTTCCCCGCTTAATCTGGGCGCCATTCTATGAAGTATATAGATCATTAGAAATTACAAAGGAAAACACGACATTCCGTACACAATTTATTTTACTATAACTTGGTGTTTTCTTTTATTCAATCATACAAATTTGAATGTGGATTCCTGAACGAATCTTTTACTTAATTTAACTTTGGCAAAAACAATAGATTTCGCAACATTTAGTAGCTTCTCATTTATATAGTTTTTCTTTTTAAATTCTGTAGCATATTAGTATTTTCAAAACAATACTCGTAGATGTGCTTTAAAAGTTAACTGGTAATGATCTGATTTCTACTATAACTTATTTAAGAGAATAATTACTGAAAAAGGACAGACTAGACGTATTTTTTCTAAAAAATACAATTTTTGGTCATGTGAATGATTCATGTTCAGATTTCAAAAATAGAAAAGGTTCTAAAGTGCATCATTTATTTATAATATAACTCCTTGAAATTATAGCGATCTGCAATGTAAACAGTAGAGCAAAGAATACCAAACTATATTTTCACGAGGATTAGGTACTGTCTTTCAGTGTGTGGAGTAAACCAGGGCATTTCCAACACATAGCTCATGCTTCTATATGATTATTTTTAAGAGCAAACTTAAAGGTATTCTTTTTCCCCTACTCCTGACTTAAATGATTTTCTGCTAACAGAGGCTGTTCTCTCACTTCAGCAATGGAAAATGCTGCTAGAAATCCAAGCTGATCAGTTTCTCAAGAACCCATTTTTTTTTTTTGAAACTGACAAGTAGTCAGTAGAGTTTTACAATCTCTTTATTTTCTTCTTATTATTAAACAAAACAAAATGGTACCCTTTAAGAAGGCAAGTCTCAAAACATACAGGAGGGCATCCCTGCTGTCCTGTTCATCCTGCGACGTTACCTTCAAAAGGCAGAGCCTGCTCAATGCCTTCTCTTGGCATCAGTGGCTGGTGTGCAGACACCTGTGCTCGACCTCACCAAGCACACAGGTGGGCCTGGGATGGACAGGCAGAATGAGAGCCCGCCTTCCTCAGTGCAGACACAGACCCTCAGAGAGTAAGGACAAATCACAAAGTGACGTCAGCACACTACAGAGATGCATCATTTGGTGTCTTAAATTCCTGGTCCCTCCAAAATGTCTAATATGGACAGCTTTGTGACACAGTCTTTGCAAAAATTATAATCATAATTGGCCATACCCCATTATTTGTTCTCTTTATACACGATCTTGAAAAGAGCGTGCTTTTAGATTCTGCCTTGGGCTGAGCTCTGAGGGCTACATTTACCCCTCAGTTAGGGGATTTTAGTGTAGGCTTCCTTTAAAAAAAAAATTAAACTCTGCTAAGTCCTCAGGAGGCTGAGAACACAGGCTCTTTCTCCCTCTCTCACAATCCTCTACACTTAAGCTAGGAATTAAAAGCAAGACCCTATATGTCTGGCTAGTGCCAAAATGAAACTAAGCCCCCTACAGTTTGCCATGGCAAGCTGTCCTCGCTTAGTGTTGGATGTTAAAATCTGAGACTGATAAGTGCAGTCAATGTGTAGCAAAGAATCCTCCAGGCTCTTCACCCTGTTACCTGATTTAAAAATCAGCATTAACATAGCTACTGCTATATTCTCTCTGTCCTCTACAGATGATCCAGCCCTAGTCAGGGATCAAAATCCTGTCAGCTGAGGAAGTCCTGAAGAAACACACCTTCAAGTAGATGTTTGCCCTGCCATTCTGGGCAGATGCAGCTTCATCTACCTGAGAGCTGAAGGGGAACAGTTCACATGAGCGGGGAAAGGTGCGGCTCTGGGGAAAGGTCACAAGAATGGCCATGGCAGCAAACAGGGCTCCGATGCATGTTCCCACTTGACTGGGTCCAAAGAGAACACGGGCCTGCACGGCACGTTCGCTCTACAGAATGAAGTCCTGAGCTTGTTTTTATCACAGTTAGACAGAGAATGGTTTCATGCTTCTCAGTTATCCAGGGAAGAACAGTGTGTATTCTCTGTAGATGAGTGTGTCTCAATGTAGTGATTCATCACTGCTAGTGTTAGTAAAACTTCCACTACAGCGCCTGTGTGTGGGTGCGTGCACACGTGGAGGCACGCAGGGATCCTGACTTTCCCTTACAAAATTCTTAAGTCAGGGTGAGTTGCCTTCTTCCATCTGGGCGGTTTCTAAGGTAGGCGATGGAAACTGGAGCCAATCCCAACGGCCTGGAGGCAGAAGGGCTACATGCTTTGCAGGTCCAGCTCCACGGCTGCCTTCCAGTTTCCGCAGAGCTGCTATTTACCCGGGGGGGCAGGTGGCAAATTCACTCCGTGTCCCCAGCCCCCTCGGCTAGGGCTGGGGCTGCCCTTACATGGACTTGGAATCAGTGTCTCTCTTGCTGATCAACACCTCCAAGAGCCTTAGTTTTGCCTTTATGTGCTTATATTCGTTGTAGTCTTCAGCCATAGGAGTGCGGTCTTCCTTCTGGACATTTCTAATGGAAACAAAGGGAAAGGAGCCTGAGGATCATTTGCTCTCTCTCCTAGATGCTACTGCTCAGCAGGTGAATTCTCGTCATGTGGAAACTTTGTAGTTTATCACCTGTAGAATCAGTGCTGCCAAGTGTCACTTGGTATCCAGACTGCAGCTGGGTTTAGACAAGCAGCAAAAGGCAGCTTCCCCGCAAAGGCACCACGTGACGGAGTTTTTATGTTAATCTGGCATCTCGTAGAATGAATATGAAGGACTAAGAAATATAGAAATTTTCTCTTTCTGCTGCTGGTGTATATGAATTCACATTAAGAGTCTCCATATACTGAAATGGTTTATTTATACTTAATAATTTCTCACTTTTAATGTTATTTCATCTAATGAATCATTAAATTTCTAATTAGCAATTGGTATACCCATAATTTACAGGTTTTTCAAAAACAGATAGTTAATACTCCTAGTGATTATAAAATCAGCCTTGGAATTCAGCAATTGGATCATATAATACTAATAAGCCTTTACAATTTACTGCGTAATTTTATATTCATACTTTTTACATGCACAAGTATTAATTGGGAGCTTATTATGGGTCAGGCACTGTGCTAGCTACTCTGTATCCATGATCTCAGATAACCTCACAGGAACCTGATAAAATGATGCTATTACCCACAGCCTACACCCACTGAGACAGGAACAGGAAATCAGGCTGACTGCACAGCCACTGCTCTCAACCGTCGGGCAGGGCGGGCCTGCTTCTCATTTCACTTGGAAACGTGCACGTCACACATTCAGATGCCAGGCTTCCTTGACTTCTTATTAAAGAACAAATATGGGAGAGGGGGGAGCATGGGGCTTATTTAATTTTGTTCAATGAACTAAAAATAAACGTATTTTATTCATGCCCTGACTTCTTCAAGGAAAGGATTCTAGATGGCTTCTCAGCAGAGGGTGGTGAAGGGAACAGGGCAGTGGGAATCAGACTATCTGACACCCCAGCCGTGCCCTCTGAGGCGCTTCCTTGCCTCAGATACGAAATGACAGAACCAGATTTTATGATAGCTGAAGTCCCTCAGAGTTTTAAACTTGTATGATGATGATTAATTCCCAATTATACTTTCTTAACACTTGTGACGTTTATATAATTACATATAGTTTCTCCTCTATAGCCTATCTGAGCATAATGTGACTATAATTATGTGGAAAAAAGATAAGCAGACAAATCAGAAACATGCCTAGAAAGAAGATTGGAATGAAATACATCAAAATATTAATCCTGGTTTGTCTTTGGGTATTATTATTATTTTGGGTGTTATTCCCTTTTATCTGTTTATCTATATTTTCTAAATGTCCTGCAGTGCATGGAGAAAGAAAAGCAAATATTTAGATACAAAAACTTATAAATCTTAATAAGGTCATTACAGGACAGATGCAAATTACAGATCCTAAAAATAAATTTATACAATAATTGAAATAAATTGGAATACAACACATTTTAAATGCCAAAGTTAATTTTTATGAAGCTTTTTATTTCCCAATACTTTTGAGAAGTATGAAAGGGCAATTAAAGAGAAACTATATTTATACTGTTTAAATAATTTGGAGTAAAACAAAATCAATTTAAAATAAAAGAACTCCAACGTAAGAGATGCAAATCTATTCCTTGTTCTACCTTCTGTCCTTGTCTCATCCTGTGACTTGAGTAAGACGCTCTGGGGCAGTCACTCGCAAACAGGGAAGACCTTCCTCAGTGTAATGCTCTCTGAGGATGATCACACTATGCCTTAGACTTTCTCCAGGGACCCTATCCATCGGGTGGGCCTACTGCTTCTTGTATATTTTTATTCAAACTTGACAACCATCGTCTTTGCTTTCAAAATGAGCTTAAAACCCAGCAAGATTTAGAGTTCTCCTTTCCTCATTTCTCCTTCCGGTTTAAGACAAAAAAAAAAAAACATAGAAAAACAAACCAGTGCTGTCAACTGGAAACTTAGCTTCCAGTTGCTCACTTTAGATTAGAATTTGATGTGACAGGTTAGTTTTATGAATGTTAGCTGAATCTGCATCAGTCGGGGGTACTGCCCCAGGAGCATATCTTCCTGCAGGACCACACACGCCTCACCATCTCACCTGCGCACAACCCCAGGGACTAGGTTACAGGAAGGATGCAGAGTGGATCCCACCTGGAGGGACTGCACAGACCTGACAGAGAAAAAAGAAGGACGTGTGTGTGGAGGGGGAGGGAGAAAGGGAAGGAAAACACAGCATGCACTACCTTCCATTTTGCCTGAAAAAATTGTCTTCAAAATCACGAAGTTTCTTTCGAATCCTTTTCTTTTCTTCTCTCATTTCCTGGAGGTGTTCCAAGAGTTCAGGTCTAAGAGGGGCAGAAACAGTTCAAGAAACTTGAGTTAAATCCGAATTGTTATAAACGTAATGAATATGCAACTCGATAGGGGTTGTGGACAAGGGGGAAGCACATAAAAGCAAAAACTACTGAGGGAGCTGAGGGGCAGGAGGAACAGACGAAGCCCAAGCAGACGGACAAGAGACACGGCTTCCGGGCTCCTGCAGAGCTCCTGCTCCTTATTTAGGGCTTGTGAAATCCCATGGCACTTTGTCACACTTTGCTTTGAAAGGAAGAGATGACATCTGTGCTCAGTGAGTGTTAAGTGATGAGCAGTGGAGCACAGAACCACACAACGCCATTTACAGAGACCTTCTGATTGTTCAAGCAAGATCTCAGATGCTGCCTTGAAGAACATGGGAGGAAGCATATAAAAACACTGAGCCAGAAGTTAAAAAAATTCACTGTTTTATCCATGCCGATGCACCCCAGGTAAATCACTTGGGTTTTGTCAGCCAATTTATTTAAATACAAAAGCTAAAATAATATTTAATAAAGTGATTTTCACCAAAACATTTCAACACCACCACCCAAATGACATACATTGAAGCAGCATGGAGATTTGAAAGCCCGGTGTCCTGGCTGCACTTTGATGGCATTTTATCATCCATTGGGGAAATAAACCCGTCAGCATCATCTTCAAATTGGTCCAGAAAGCAACGTGCACTGAAATCAGTCTTCAGAGTGACTGTGAAGTCTGGCTTTGTATTGGTGTCATCTTCTGAGCACTCTTCTTCTTCCTGGAGATAACAGAGCAACCCCAATAAAAATGTGGCCACTTTTTCTGGCACTCTTTCATTGCAAGTATCATATAACAATCATTTAATTATCCAGATACCATAGTTTCTTCTATATCTATACTTGGCAACACACATGCACATTGTGGATCTATTACAGAATATCTATACACAGTAAACAACACAAACAGTAAACACAGCCACTCCACAGAGAGAAAGACTATAAAATTATAAAAAATGAATGTACAGCACAATTAACAGTTATCAAGGCTGAGGGTAGGAAGGAACAACCATCATATTTTATACCCTAAATCAAATGAAGGAAGAGAATCTGAAAATTCCCAGCTCTCTGACAATACATAACAAAATCCACCACCAGCAATCAGTGCTTTAAGGATTCCATTACTTGTGTACCTCAGAAAATATTTTTTATTAAGCTATGAACATTTTCAGAAATTGAACAATACAGTCTTTATATTTAAGAGTTGAGATTATAAAATATTGTGTGGTTGTTTGATGCACAAAATTTAGGGAACTTTTGAGAAGATCAAAACATTTATCTTCCCACGATTGGAATCATAAAACTCTAAGTTTTTTCAAAGAACTTCCAAAGGCCATGGCTGTATTTTTCAGCATCCAAGATTCTAAGAAAACTATGATATTCTCTGTCGTGATGATAATGCAATTAGGAAAAGAATGAAGTCAAATTAGAACTGCTTAATGCCAATTTAAAGTTATGTAAGTCTATGGGAGAAATAACATCAGAGTCTGAAAGAAAGATTTTAAAAAAAGTAATTTACTGCCAAAATGTACAGTCAGATCAGAAGAGAATATCCTAATATCTTGAAAAATTAAAAAATTGGTTAGGAGTACAGTTACATGAACAACAGAAAGTGTAACATCAATTGTTCTAGTTAAACCAAGTGGCTTCAGTGCCAATGCAGCAAATGAATCTCAGAAGGCGGTGTAGTTACCACTGGTTGTCAAAATACCAGTATGCAAACTGCCTGCAGTGGATTTTCTTACCATAAAGTGTGGTATGTTTATGATGGTGCTTCTGAAGAGAAATAATGTAAACAAACAAACAGGCAAAACAAACAAAAAAAGGACTATTACGTAACTACAATGAAAGTACAGTTACGAAGGCATGAAGTTAAAATTGGCAAAAATTGGGTGGCTTTTCTCGATTCTGTCTGCTGTGACTTCAGATCTTCAATCTCTTTGCTTGGTCCATGGTCACTATTAATTTTTTAAAATTTAAATAATTAAAAACATTTTTAAATTTACAGAGTAAAAATGACTTTTAAATTAATAATTTAAGAGTTTCTCTTTTTTGTAGGAGGAAGTGACAGTTCCCCCCGTTGGTCCTGATAAGGACTGAGACACCCGATGAGGTTCACCTGCACACAGGCAGTGCCGCTCTGCCTTTTGCTCCCTCCCCCTTCCCTGGATGAGGAAGACCAGGTGGAATCACCCAACTGTAAACTCGACGGAGGTAGGGCTTTGGGCCTGTCTGTTCACTGCTGTCCCCAGAGCCTGGCCAATGCCTGCATACAGTAGGTGCTCAATAAATGTCTGTTAAACAGTCTAGTAATTCAGTTTTAAAAGAGAAATGCAAGTTACTATTGTGAGTATTAAAGCCTGAGATAGATAAGAAATGAAGTCAGGTGTCCAGGCCTTATCAATTATATCCCAAGGTCCTGAGAGAATTTAAAAATGTGAGAATGGGTCTTGCCCATAGTGAGAACTCAATGTTTTTTAAGATGAAGATAAACAAAACTATTCTCAGTAAGCTTTGAAAATTATGGGAAAAAAGAGAAATAGCAAAATAGATCTTCAAATTGTAAGACCATCAATCAGGTTGCTGTGGCTACTGGCTAGATTCTAGAAGGAATGAATACATAGATAATGCATGAGCAATTGAAAAAGAATCAGTGATCGACAGTGACTAGCGGTGGCTCCTTAAATACAAATCATGACAACTGACCATTTTTCCTTTTTTGATAGGATTGGCATAATATCTGGATTTCAATAAAGAATGAGGTGAGCTGATCTATCAAAGGAAAGCTGGTTGTGAAAATTTATGCAGAGGGATGATGCAACTGTGACGTGAATCTGGAGGAAAGTCCATAGCAGGCTCTTTCTCTGACCCTGCCTTACTCAACATTCATCAGTCACTTAGATAAAGACACAAAAGGCATATTCACAAAATGCGTAGATGATACAGAGTGGGCAGGGATATCTGGTGTGTTGGAATACAAAATTGATCTATTTCATAAGGCTGGAATAGAAGTATGAAAAGTAACTGGAAAACTTCAAGGTCCTATAATTAGGTGAGAAAGAAAAAAGCTGGACACAGACGATAAGCAGCCCACGGACGCTGGGGATCGCACACATCAACAGCAACACAGGCCCAGGAGGAGAGGTTCCCAACAGGGGCTGATTTTGCCCCCTAAGGGCCCTTTGGTAATGTCTCAAGACATTGTTGGTTGTCACAGCTGGGCAGGCATGGTTGTAGTGCTCTACTGGCATCTAGTGGGGAGGCCAGCCCCCCAAACAAAGAGTTATCCAGCCCAAAATGTCTACAGTGCTGAGGCTGAGACACCCTGCCCTAGAAAGACTAAAATGAACTCACGATACATCGACAGTCATAGTCAATCTGTCAGGACTAGTCCTTGGTCCTCTGTCCTGCTGGTTAAACCAGATCATGAATAGTGTTCAGTTCTGGGTATCAGTTTTTAAGAGGGATAGAGATAAACTGGTATGTGCGTACAGAGCAGAGCCACTAGACTGCTGGAAGGTCTGGAACCCGTATCACACAGGCATAGTAGGAAGAACTTGGAGAAAAACCTTTCACAGGGTGTGCATAGGAGCGGGCAGGGCAGGTGACTGTAAATATACGAATTGCTCTCAAGGATGAAGTGGTATGCTTATTCTAAGTTGTTCCAGAGGGCAAAACTAAGCCTATGAAGTAGAAAGTAATATATTAATAACAACTATAGATATTATAATTTTTAATTATTTTCAAAAATTGTGATATTTTATAGTTATCAAACTTATTATGCATTCTAAAATTACATATATAATATTTTATAATTTTAAAAATTATAAAATAATACAAAATAAGTTTTTAGCTATTATTGATATTTTGCCCATTTGATGAGTGACCTTACTTTCCCCATTGCTATAAACTTTTCAAGCTTCAGGATGGAATCACTTCTTCGGGACAGTGTCTCTGTTAGGTGAAACTCTTATGTTGGATAGGAGAATTGACTAGACAATCTCTAGGATTTGGGGGTTGGAAGATCCAGGGCTTCCAAACTTGAGCTGGCTCTATTTCATACACAGCCGGTTTCCTGCCATAAGCATTTAAAACCAGGGACGGCTTTTAAAGAAACCACTTAGATACAATCTTCTTGTCTGCACACACACCAAATTCTAAATTGTACCAGAATTGCCAAGAATTATACAATCCAAATACGTGCTAATAAGCCTGGCCAATTGGAACAAAATGAACTAAAAGACAACACTATTTACAAAAGCAATGTAATCATTGAAAATTATCTGAAATTTTGACCATCATGTGGGCTAGTAGAAGAGCTATGGCTAAAACATACTTGTGAAAAAAATAAAAACTAAGCTAAAGGATAAGATTTGGGAGAATGTCCTCTTTTAAAAAGAGCATTATTAGTATATCTTCCGTTTGTTTAATGAGCCAATTATTAAGTGTCATATAGTGGATGCGTTAAAGAACACATTTGTATCTAGTAACAGTTCTATCACATGCTTCTAAGAGAAATATGCTAATTTTCATACACACAATTGCCCAAATTTCAATTAAGATTTAATTCTTGTGAAATTACCAGCTAGCCAATACTTGGTCTCTTTTCATCAACATCAAGTCTTATTGTTAGAAAACAGCTCTCATTTTTAAGATACAATATAGCATATTCCCTTAAATTTCACATTTAGAGCATTTTCATAAAATAAGTTCTATTTAAAATAACATGAATAGTGAGCATGAATCATTGCCTAACACCTTAAAATTAGGTATATGAAGTATTTAAGACCCCTAAGAGGTAAGAAAAGGAAGAGGGTAAATAAAAGAGAAGACTTCGTAGCTTCCAGTACCTTACCTCAGTTAGAATGATGAGAATCAGGCAAGAAAATGGAGTGGTTCTCAATTGGTGTCCCTCGGTGGGAACGAGGCCCCCATATTCTGAAATAATCGTTCCTAACTACAGCAAATAGGTGAGCACCCCAAGCTTGGAATTGTCATAGCAATATGACAACTGAAAACTCTTAAAACTCACTCTGCTTTGGGTTTTACTCCCTCTTCCAATTTAACTGCTGAAAAATGACCACTGATTTTTGAAAAATGAGTGACTCTGACTTTTCATCCCTAGAGCCCTGCATGAGGCAGTCCGGCTTGTTAAGATGTCTAGAAACAAAAACATGAAAGAGGTTGATCCCAGCCCAGGCCAATTAGGTCCCTTCAGAGACGCACAGATCTGTGGGCACAGATTATACCTCGCATACTAGCAAAAGTAGCCACTGAGGAGAGGATTATCTGTATAAAATCCAGAATTGCTACTGGGAAAAAATCAGAGCATGTGTTCTCATGACTGCCGGTCATAGCACCACATTCACAGAGCAAGAACGGATTATAAAACTCATACTGAGGACTAAACTTGCCGGAGAAAGACAAGAGGAAGGAAGAGTGGGTGGAAACGCACCGGCAAATCTGTCAGAGACAACTAGACATTTGTCTATGAAATGGTAACTTTTTATTGTGTGCTGTGTATATTGGCCTTTATTAATTTTGGTTTTTCTATAAACTCAGTAAATGAGGCTTTTTAAAAAAGTTACCCGATGAGCTAATGTAATAAAATTTTGGAATACAGAAAATCCATTCTCCAGATAGGGGAAAAAAATCCCAAAACAAAAAACATTGTGAAAATAAAACAAAACAATCATCCCTGAAAGCAAACTAAAAACAAAACAAACAGCAAAAAGCAGGGGCACGAAATGAAACAAAGGAAATCAGCTCGTCTATAATATAAATAAAAGGGATTGTTCAAGTTGGTTACACGCAGCTACCGATGTTTAGGGAACACAACAGGAAGCCATCACCCTAGCGCCCGATCAACCCCTCTCCATCCGAGGGAGGAAGGGAGGGAACTGGTGCAGACTGAGCAAGTGGTTAGCTGCTGGAGGTCTTCACCTTGATCTCCTTGAAGAAGGAAGCAGTTTCGCCCTCGATAATTGGCTGCAGCAAAGGGCTTCTCCGCTTGCTGGAGGGGGAACCCTGCGACAGGCGTTAACAGGGAGGTTACATGGCGAACTCCTTTCCCTTGCCCGCCAGCTCGCCGCCTCCTATGACTCACCGGGGTTTATACTGCCTTTTAACTATATACTCCAACCCCTCCCTGCCAAAATTCCCCAGGAAAAGCAGAGACAACAAAGTTCTTTTCCAAGTTGATGCTTCACTTCAGAGCCCACACACACAAACCAAAGGGGCCACAGAGAAGCAAGAACAGCACATGAGCATGTTAACCAAACATGCAGAAAAAACCTGAGGAGAAACACCCGCCTCCCGCCCTCTTTCCCCCCAAGCACAATAACTACGGGAACATCTCAACTGTCGTAAGCTTTAACTCGAATAACGTAAGCTCATCCAGCCATACACAAAGGCTGCCCCTTCACCCTATGTAGGGACACTAAGGGCTCCTGACTGGAGAATGAAAATGGTTCCTTAGATTTAATCCTTTTATTGGCTGGTTTACTAATTTATTCTGCAGAAAAAAGTAGATTTTGTCAAGCACACCTGCGTGAGGTCTCAGGAGCCTCCCTCATTCATATGAACAAGTACACTGCTAAAAGACACACAAAGACTTTATCTTAGGCCTAGAAATACAGAGGGAGATTTAAAGCAGGAACAGAAGAGCGGCAGCTAAGATGAATATGCATTTCAATGAAACATAAAAGCGAGGCTGTGTCTGCTAGCCAAAAACCAGGCAGAGGAAGCCCCAGGGCCCTGGAGATGAGGGCACTGACGCCCAGGCCAGTGATTCCCTGAGACATGGGTAGGGCACTAACTCTGCACTCACGAGCTGGGGTGGAAAAGCCGAGACGGGGACCAGGGAGGACAGCAAGCTGGCCAGAGCCCGAGAGGCTTTCCCAGAGCTGAGGGCGAGCTGCTGCTCCCTATTCTTGCCAAAATCAAAACTCAGAGCCCAAAGCGGCTAAGTCCAAGGATGGAGGCCACTGAGAGCAACTTCACAATCATTAGCCTCCCTCTCTCTTCTTCCAACTTACACTTCTCTGCATCCTCCAAAAAGAGGAGGCTCTCTCTCCTGAGTTCCTTTGAGGATTTCTCCCTGGATGTGATTCCCAAGGGCTTATCCCTCTCCCAGAGGGGAAAAGGAGACTGTTAACTAGAGAGGCACTCTTTGGAGAGGAGAGGCCTGGAGAAAGCACAGCCCTGTCTGCCTGGTGCTCTTTGAGGAGAGGGTGGGGGAGTCAGCCCAGCACGAGTCAGGTAGATGGATAGGGCCAAAGCACGTCTCCCAAAAGAAAAATACTCTATCAGCTTCAGATTTGCTCGTTTTTGGCAAACGTAGCCTCAGAAGTCTTTGATAAGCTCTTCATTTCTCAAGCTTACGAGCCACAGATATGAATGGCAGGTTCAACTATTAAAGCCTATTCTTTAATGAGAAAGTAGGTTAGGGCCCTATTAATACAGCCAGGGCCCATTCAACCAGGTAATCAACAACAGCGAGCGGCGTACTCACAACGATGGGTATGGTGTTGGCCCGGGACAGGATCTGTTTGACCAGCCGGTATCTGTCATAGAGTGGCTTCATCACCTGCCGTTCATTCTTGGTTACCTGAAAAGCAAGAACAAGAGAGCTGAGGAGCCTGCTCCTGACGGTCCTGCTACCAGCTGACAAGCATGCTCTGCGCCTAGAGAAAGCACAGATGATTCAACTGAAGTCGCAGTGTTCTCACAAAATGTATTTAAACTGACAACAATATTTAGTCAACGACTGTTTCAAGTATCTACGTCAGCTGCAGATCAGTGGAAATCACTCCGTCAGCAGTATTGCTTTTCCTAAATCAAAAATATAACCATTATTAGCTCCCTGCTTCAAACTCCTCAAGGTTCAGAGTTCCCAGATGATTTACTCTATTTTCTAGGTCCAGGGAAGAAGAAAGCACGTATTTCTATCATAATACTTATCATGCAGTTCTGTAACCAGTTTTTTTTACATATCTCTTTCTCCCATGACATTGTTGTGTTTTTAAGGATAAGATTTTGGCAAATAGTAGCTATTCAAGGAACATCTACTGATAGAATACATGGATTGATTCATCTCTGTATCCCTAAAATCTGGCACAGGGCCCCAGAATGTTCAAGGACTGGTTCTGTAGGCAGTGGGGAGGAAGTGAGCCCAACTCCCAGGTACAGTATTTGAAGCCCCTCATCATCTGCTTCTCCTCCCCCTTCATACCTCAAGCTCCAGAGAGAAACTAAGTTGTTTCACACCTCCTTGTCTAGTTCCCTCTGCCCTGAAATGGCTTCCTCTCTGCTCCTTAGTTTGGCAAATTCCACCTCCCCTGTGCAGCATTCCTCCAACATCTCCCATTCTGGGAGAACTGCTCATTCTTTCCTTTGTGTCACCTACTGCAACCTCTGTATACCCTGTAATTTCAAGATATACTTTTGCTATAAACTGAATGTTTGTGTCCCCCCAAAATTCATATGTTGAAACATCTCTGATGTTAGGGTATTAGGGCCTTTGGGAGGTGATTAGGTCACGAGGGTGGAGCCCTCATGAGTGGGATTAGTGCCCTTATAAAAGAGACCCTAGAGAGCACCCTTACCCCTTCTGTCATGTGAGGACACAGCAAGAAGATGGCTGTCTGTGAACGAGGAAGGGGGCTCTCACCAGACACTGAATTTGCTGGTGCCTTGATCTTGGACTTCCCAGCTTCCAGAACTGTGATAAATACATTTCTGTTGTTTATAAGCCACCCAGTCTGTGGTATTTTGTTGTAGCAGCCCCAGCAGACAAAGACACATTTTTACACTCTCAGTAATTATTTGGTGATGCACTCGTTTCCTCCTTTAGACTTTAAGCCCCTTGAGAGCAGGAGTTCGTGTTTTTGTATCCCTGGTAACTCTTTCAGTGCCTGATATATTCCATAAATATCTGTGAAATGAGTGAATGAATACTTCAAACATAAATAAGTGTGCCCAATTCATAGGTATGCAGGCATTTCCCCTGTTCACTTAAATGGTGAATGAGATGACGTATCTTTGTTTCTCAGTTGCTGTTTGCCTTCTGCATTTTACTTCCATTGCACACGTAATAAGGCAAGAATTACAGAGGTACAGAAGGGCAGGCACTATTAGCTTTGACCTTTTCTCTAATGGGCCTTTTGGGGCTCCAACTTGGAAGACACCTCTGGATTATGCATAAATGGGTTATCCTTTGTGCCCTTTTATATTTGCCTTTCCCAGAGTGACCAACAATAAGTGAACTATGGATAAACTTCACAAGCTAGGATAGGATACTGCCACTATGCAAAAACATTTTGTGGATTTTCTATCATCAGCAATGATAATAATCTTTTATCTCTATCTCTTCCTGTGATCACAATATTAAAAGGAGGATGGCATTTTCCTGCTTCTACTATCTACTGTAGCAAAGAATTTTAAAATTGGTATTTCATAAAAAAGGACTGTAAAACTGGAAGGGAACTCAGAAATTGTTTTATACGAAAAAGATTGAAGATCAAACCACAGGTGTTACTACTACACACCTACCACAACAGTGAAAATGAAAAGACAGAGCATCAAGTGTCAGTGAGAACGCTGAACAACTGGAATCCTCTGGAACCACTAGAACTCTAGTGGGACTAGATGTCCCACTCTAAGGATGGAACATTTTGGAAAACTATTTGGCAGTATCTACTGAAGCTGAACATATGGCCCATCAAATTCCACTCTTACGTATATACCAAATACATGTGGCCTTAAATTCACCAAAAGACATATATAAAAAGGTTCATAGCAGCACTATTTATATTAACCCCAAACTGGAAACCATCCATATACCCACCAACAGAAGAACGAATAAGGTACGTTCCCAAAATTGAATACTACATACCAATGAGAAGGAATAAGCCACAGCTATATGCAATATCGTGGATTAATCTCACAAAAATAAAGCTGAGTAATATAAGCCAGATACCAAAGAATACACACTGTAACGTTCCACTTATATCAAATTCAAAAATAAGCAAATTGAATCTACAGTGCTAGAAGTCAAGACATGGTCTCTCTTGGTCGGGGGGATGTCATGGTATTGACTGGAAGGGGACATGAGGGGGCGTTCCAGAAGGTTGGCAATATTTTGTTTCTTGATCTGGATGCTGGTTACCTGGATGTGTTTATAAAATTTGTGAAAATTCATCAAGACATATATTTATAATTTGGGTCCTTTTCTGTATTTGTGTTATATTTCAACAAAAGTTCAACAATAGCCACAAATAAGTCTGAGGAATAGAAATGGAGTGACTTGTACAAGCTCACATGTAAAATGATAAAATTTAGGACTGGAACACATGGAATAATTTTTTTATACAAGATGTATCTATTAAATGTGTTGCACATGAGGTTAAGGCACATCCTAATTGTCAACACATGACATGTGGTGAAATATTATTGTGTAAGATAAACAATAGATGGTTTCGTGATCAAAAGACATACTAAAAATAAAAATAATGACAAGGAGCCAGCATTTCCCCATGGTAGACTAGCAATCTATTACTAGTTGCTCGGCAGAAACATCTTCGGATTGTAGGCAACTTGGGATTTTAGAAGGAAACTTAGCTGGTAAAATCATCCAGATATAGCAAATTTGACAGAAATCAATTTCCTGTCTAATTCTTTGTTCAAAAACCAAATTTTCTAGTTGGAGTAGATGAAGAGGATCACTGGCTTAATTCTTTGGCTTATGATACTATTTAGATTTTCTATGAGCTATTCATATTTTAAATTAATGAGCCTCAGGAACTAATCCCCTGTGAGTGATCTGATAAAATCCAGTTTTTGACTGTGGAGAGTTAAAACTCCTCATGATTCCACCAAAGTTAACACTGGCATTTGATAGAAATATCTAAACACCAAAAATATCAAAGATCTTTAAGTCTGAGGTGATAGAAGGAATACTACTTGATTTACACCAGAATTATTTTCATGATATATGTCTGAAGCCAAAGGCTTGGTGATACTAAAAGTTAATACAAGTGTCACCCATCGTAAATCCACGTCACCTGCAATTATCAGTGCTGGATTTGTGAGTAGAGTCAAAATCTAACCAATAGTTAGAGAAACAGAGCAGGACCTTGGTTGAACTGTCGAAAAAGGGCCAGCTGATATTAAGTGGACCATGGGAAAACTTTTCGGAAGTTGACATCTCTTATTCTTGAGTCATCAGCTGCTCAGGGATTCTGCTACTAATTAAGAATAGGCCTTTGAATGAGTCAGTGAAGTTCTCAGAGTCTCGGTTTCCTGGGTAAACTGCAGAATTCAGATTCTGATTCATAATTGCTTGGAAATGACTTGAGGCCAAGCATGTAGTGTATTGTCTTTTCAACACAATTTCACTCCTCTTGCTTCAAACCTTTATTTAGTTTTCATTTAAGTGGTAGCTCTGAATGGCTTTCCAATGTGTGGAGCAGGATTATTACTGAGATGTATTTTTGCACACAAATCAAGACAACATAAAAACCTAGACATGAAGATCTAATGGGCGAAAGCAGCGCCTTTCACTCTATCTTTGCTTTTGATTGAAAGAAATCTTCATCCACTGGACTTGTACTACCCTATTTGGTTGCTCTGTAAGCCTCAGATAATATTTCAAGGTACAAAGGGAACACCAGCCAATAATTATCCACACTTGAGTAGAGGCGAGTCCTGAATAGAGATCACAAAAGCCTGGTTAGACAATTGCATTTGCCTGCCTTTACCTTTAGTGATAGTTTTTGTCTTAGCCTCAAGCAAAACTTCTCAACAGGAGCAATTTGGTTGCTGTTACCTGGACAGTGTCACAGAGGTGAAAGATAAAATGATTGATGTTTTTAATTTGAGGATAAAGATTAGAAGCATGGAATGTTAGAGCTAGAAGAGCCTTATTTTCATAAAACTAAGCACTGGAGAGGGCAATGATTTGCCCAAGGCAATAGATCCGGGGCAAGAACCCAGGGTTACTGACTCCCAGTCCAGTTTTCTTTCCATTCACAAATAAGTAAGACATGAAGTAGGATCTTAACACAGTGTCACAATGTAGCCTTATCCTCTATTAGGGTTTGACCAAGTTGCCTTCTTAATATAAAGAATCTGCCTTCCAAGCTGACAGCTCTGCTTATACTAAATTCACAAAGATCTCGAGCTATGAACAGTAGCATGGAAGCACCATTTTGTGAGAAATTATGCCACAGACAAGAAACTACACTGCCTCAAAATCTTCTTAGTACAACAAAAAGTGATTTGAGTTTGTGTGTGGAGGGGTACCTCTGAGTCATAAAACCACTAGCAGGAGAAGACAAATGGGATGGATTCTTATAGCTATTGCATTCTTTACCTAGTGACTGGGAAAACGGCAACGCTCCTTCTTCATTTTCAGGTAAAAAATAGTAGGCTGACTATGCAAAGATCAGATGATCCCAACAGCACATAACCAAAGGATAGTATTTACTTATATTTGGTTTTAGAATTTGCATTTAAATTTGGACATGGTATATTTAGTGTCATGTTAGTTCCCAAAGTTTTAAAACACAAGATTAAAATATATCAATGAAGAAGAGACTCCAGAAGAACCCAGAAGCTCAGATCAAGGAGCCCATTCTCCACCCCTCTGCATTATTATTGAGGCATGATCTATAAAGGTGATCCAGGGAGCTGCAGTTATCTGTTTACTTCTCTCCATGACATGGTCTTTTGATTAAATTCTTCAATGTTGAAATGGACATACTTTAATAATAATTAATAGGGATTTATGTGCCAGTGTGTAAATGAGTGTGTTTTTGCTTTTCAAAAACGTGCCCGTCTGTCCGCAAAGTGCCCCATTAAAGCAAACAGCCTAGTTAAAGAATGCGTAGAAGCGGCATATAACAGTCTGGGCCTGTGATTTCAACAGCCAGTGTCCTTTTGAATCAGAATCTGCAGACTCGGCAAAAGCCCATGAGCTCTGAGCTCCTGCTTTTCTCAAAAAAACTGGGGTCTGGAATGGTAGTTTAGCTCCGGAAGTACATGTATTTTTCTTTTAAGAAGTGTTGCCCAAATGGTATTTACAGTTCAGGGTCCATGGCAATACCACAGATCTCAGAATGAAAAGTTCACTCTTCGATTTTCAGACTGGCCAGACGTCAAATGAACTCTGCTTTTCCGCTGGAGGCTGGAGCATCACGTTCCAGACAGAGGCAGAGAGCCTGACCTGGGACGAGGAATAAATGACACCCAAACTTCCTAGAGCAATTCTTCCCTGCCCTACGAGATGCTAGAACCTGGACCCAAAAAGGTTGTTCTTCCTTCATCTGAAAGAATGATGGAAAAAAGGGAATAATAAGGCAGGGCCAAGAACTGATCTTTCATATTTCTAATGATAAAAGTGCTAAAAAATGTGCATTTGTTCTCCTGATTCAATCATTTAATAGCAAGTCGGCCTTACAGAGCAGAACATAATTGTAACAGAAGTGAAAACTACCATTTACTGGGCAAGTCTCCTCCCCAAGCCACCCCCCCTTCCTCAGTGCCAGACAGTACCTACAGGTAAACGTGTATGTGTGTGTGTGGGTGTGTAATGTCATTCAGTCTCCGTGACAACCTACAACAGACTGCTATAATACAGACAAAGCACTGAGCCCCCGAGAGGTTACCTAAGCAGCCCAAAGTTACAGAGCTGGTCTCGGGAGGGCCAGGTTCTGAATCAAGGTCTGCTGATCCCAGTGCCCACAGGTTGCAACAGTCCAGGCAGAATGAGAGAGTCTGTGTCAGGGCGACCAATACCATGGCACCCAAAACCCAGGACTGGTGGTAAGTTTAACACCAGAATGCAGCTGAGAGCTCTCGGGGCCTCGGGCACGGAAGTCTTTAAAGGAGTCTATCAGTGTCATAACCCCCATCCACACAATGAAAAGAAGGAAACACACAACTCCTGCCTCCTTCCCCGAGGACTGGGCCCACAGTGGAGAGGGGTTTTCTCCCAGTCAGAAGTTCAGTTCTACCTCCGCAAGTTCTGAATAATCCAGGAGAGAAGGACAAAGTTTCACAACATATTTGACTCCAGCGCATTTACTAGTTGGTTCATTGCCTTTAAAAAATCCAAAACAAAACTTGGCTTGAAACATGACCATTATCCTAGAGCGTCAGTATTCTTCCACTGCAGGGACAGGCCAGCAAAATCAATCATCACCAGCTCCAGATTTAAAATTTTTTTTTTAATTTAAATTTGATAAATTCAGAACCAAAATACTGTGGAGGATGCATTCTACAGATAATTCACTGGGCACGTGCTATGGGTCAGGCCTTGTGCTAGATGCTGAGGATTAGGTTCACCATTAGGTGAACAAAACCCAGAATCCCTGCCTGCACAGACCTTAGAGTCCAGTGCACTATTCTGTAAGCTTCTTTATTTAAAAGAGCATATTTTAGATAAAAAGAGTATCTCCATTATATAGCCATGGCTGAGACTGGAAAAGAGACCTATGCGTTTTGGCTATATAAAAAATTCTTCTGTGAACATAAACTTCATGCTCAGTACTTGCTCTTAAGAATTTGTTTTATTGGGTTCTTGACAACATTCTGAACAGAAGGTCACTGCGAGAAACCAACAAGGCTATCTGATTACAAGTTCCGTAAGGAGGAGAGCAGAAGCCTCGCACGCTCCTGTCTCCCACAGAACTAACAACAAACATTCAATAGACACTTGCTGAATAACAAACTGGCCCCAGCGCTTCCTGCCACATTCTGGGTTCCTCACACTTTTGGTTCTGAAGCGCCGCTGGAACTTCTCTACAAACACTGGTCACAACTGCATTGCAGAGATTGCATTTTAGGGCAGATCGTTCTAATTTAACACTTTCATTTTATGGGTAAGAGTGCCCACAGCCAGTGACAGCTTATGGGGGCAGACCTGGGGACACAGAAGTCTCATCACTCCAGGGCTCTGTGCACCAACCAATACCCCCTCCACAATTTTTCCCCTTGAAGCAGGACACCAGTGTCTAAATTTTAGTTGCAAACTAATTCTTTTTTTGGAACTCAATTAAATTCAGCATCTACTAGATAGTGGAACTCTTATCAGCTTAGCCTTCAGAAAGCTTAGTTATGGTGAAAAGATATAGTAATCTCCTAAACATCAGGAAACCTCATTTGCAAAATACTGAACACGGAAGATCTGTTTCTAAAGCCAGATAATTAACCCCAATCAGAAAATTCAGTATATTCACATACCGGCCGTCCATGAATGCTTTCATAATATAACAGAGCTTTCTGCAGAGCCACTTTTTCATTCGCAATCTGGTCTTTGGTCATATCCTGTATAAACACAAGGATAGAGAAGTGAGACAGAGGGAGGACATTTGTGAACATTCCAACTTCTTTATTTAGTTAAACAAATTTCCTAAAGGTTAAAAAGCATCCTCATACAACAGCTCTCCCTAGCTCTAACCAAAGCTCACGTGGGAATTAGCTACTCCTGACCTTTTGCTAGAAATACGGATAGCACAGCAGAATCATCATCAACCACTTGTATCTCCCACGCAGCAGTGAAGGCATGTTGAACACTGAGGTAAGCAAGGCTGTGAGGCACAAGGGGCTTAGCTTAATGGCCCCCGCAATGACTACAGTTACAGGTTACCCAGTCCCAAAGGTTTGTCTATAATCCTTCTACCTCAGAGAATCAACAAACCGTCTATTAATCTAAACAAGTTCATTCTGCAATCTGTACAACAGAGTTTCCTGCTTTCAGTTTTTAGTCAAAAACCAAAGTTCCTACACTTAAAACACTCTAAAGTTGTTTCATCTGCTTCTCTAGACATCTAAGAGTGTGGAAGATAAGGGAGGAGGAGGTTTAAAAAGGCTTCGCTCCGTCACTCTTTCCACTGGGATCTATGTGGCATGCCCTGTGTTTCTACCATGTTGACTGGGGCGGTTTAGGGTTAGCAGTCAGCTTGGGGCCTTCACAGAATCATCACACCTTAATGTCCTCAGGACGGCTGCTCTCCGCCCGCTTCTCCTGGAGCTTCCTCTGGATCGATTCCAGCGTGGCCTCAACGCTGGGCTTTATTGCTTTATCTAGCAACTCTTGCTTCTTCTCATCTTCTTTCTCAAGTTGGGAACCGAAACTCTTGGGTAGGGTGTTGCTTCGCTGCCGCATCCTGGGGGTTAGGTCCTCTTCAGATATCTTTAGTTTCGAGTCTATTTGAAAAGATTTGGGGGTAGAGCTATATGAGAATTGATGTCTGCTGAACCCAAACTGTTTTTCTGTGGTGTTAATAGCTGCTTAGCCCCATCTTTTTTCAGAGTATCTAATTATAATATTAGTTGAAAACCCTGGGTTATTACATAAAACCCGAGATAATGATAACGTCCTCCTGGATTATCCGGGACGTCTCCCTAATGCTAATTCCTGAGAAAGCTTTAGCTATTTAGCATCTGTGCTTTAGCCACACCAACCTGTTTGCTGGCAACTTGGCAGATGCCTTCCTATACTGTTCCCTTAGTGTTTACAGGTATTTACTGATCTAACACCCAGCCACTAGCCAACTTTTTCTGTATGACTTATGTACCTCATTTTGGAATTATTTCACTTTGTATTATATTTACTTGTTTATATGACTCTATTTCCTAAAAGACAGCAAGTTCTTCAAGGGACAGAGACAAACCCTTTTCAGATTCATCTTTTGTGTCTATATGTCTTCTCTAAGACCACAGCAAATGAACCTTGGAATAAACAGGTACTTAAGTGTTGAATTGAAATCAACATCCTTACATTAGTGACTTCAGGAAATGAAGAAATGTTGCAGAATTTGCATGTTAGCTGATCTGGGTTACCCTGTGATTGAGACCATGGGAAGACACAGGGAAGATACCATCTAAATACTGAGAGCACTGGGAAACAGCTTCAAGGAACCTATCTTTTCTGAAATATTTTAGCAAAGGCATTCGGCACTTGGTGAGATCATGGATTCTGCTCCTGGTTTATTTTATAGAAACCATGCCATAGGTCTAGACCTTCACCTACCTTTAAGTTGTTTTCGGAATTTGGCAAGGTCATTTGTCCATTTCAGAACCTCTGGATTGGCTGCTTTGTCACTGTGGGAAGGCTGAGAAAAGGAAATCTAGAGTAAATGTTTTGGAATTGGGTCAGGACAAAGAAGAGGAGTTTGATGATCAGTTTGTTGTAAACAGGAAGGAAAAGTTGAGTTCCGTTGGGATAAGAAATGAACTAAGATCAATCAGAGCAAACTTCACAGGTATAATTCCATCATCCTTCTTTACATCTGGTTATTTTTGATGCTTTCAAAGAACTTCTCAGAGGCGAAATGCTGGATTTTAATGATGATGGACTTCTATGAAGTCCATGGCCCCTTTCCATTAGTTGTAGGGTTCAACCCATCAGGCTAACAGATATGTGATATTTCACACACAACCACCATGGAAAATGCCCTTTTGCCACCCTTGTGGAAAATACTAAGGATAGAGCTGAGAGTAGAGTGAGGTCTGTACTAATGAAACTTTAGAAGATAATCTTGAATTAAGTTTTAGCCAAACAAGACTTCATTTAGTGACTTTTCCCTTTCTTCCTTACTGATAAATATACAAAACGTAGAGTAAAGCATACAATTTATTTGTAATGAAACATGCAAGGACTATGTAAGGAAATTTGCAAAGAAACATGTAATATTTAATATATATGTAATTATACATATATATTATATACAATATAATTACATATATATTATATGTATTAATATTAATATATAACATTAATATATATTATTGTACACACATAAAATTACACACACAAGTACATACATATGTATATACATAATACATTTAATATATTATATATTAATATTAACATATAATACACAATATATAAAATTGAATACTATATGTATATATAATATATAATATGAAATTTGTAAGGAAATGTTCAAGAAAAGTGCTGATACAAGATGTTTGGGGTTTATCGTCCAGTTTTTATTGCCTTTTTGTTTTGAGCTTCCCTAGAACTCTCCCTAAACCTTGGTCACTTCTCTGTATTGCTGAGGCCGGCATGTCGGGGAGCGGAGGCGAGAAGAGAAGATGGCGAGGAGGCACTTACTCTGTACTTCCTCTCTTCTTCGAATCGGTCTTCAAACTTTCGGATCTTTTTTTTAAGGCTCTGAATCCTTCGTGTGAGCTGGGCGGGTGTCAGGTCCTCTTGCTCATCATCGTAGGACCCCAGGGAGGAGCTCCGCCGCCTGGGAGGGGTACAACTCAGGTCACTGCCTGCTGGGAGGGGCTCTGGGGATGAGGGATGCGGCAGGGATGGGGAGGGTGCAAACAGTCCCCATCCTCTCCAATACAAAATGCTGACTACTCATTCATTTTGTGACCTTGAGCTCTGTATGTCCCGCCCATTAACAAGTCTTACCTTCTCTAGCTCACATTTACAATTAGCAAAGTTAGGACTGAAATGTGTGCTGCGGACTTCAAAATTAAATTTGACAGAGCTTTGGAAGGGAGATGCTAATGAATATTCAATAGGTGATACTGTAGTTGGGCCACAGTTCAACTGAAAACTTACAACAGGGCCTGTGTACTAGGACGGAGACTTTTAAATATGTTCCACCACAGACTTATAACTTAATTTAGACAATTACTAGCCATCAGCAACACTCCTAACCTTTCTAACATTATAGTGATGATGCATTTGCTTATCAGCAACACAAAGAAACATACCTCATGAAAGAATGGGAATCTGGCGGAGAAGGCGGCACTTCCGTGTCATCCAGGTATTGCCTACTCTGCCCGTAAGCGTAGAACCGAGGAGAGAGCATTGGGTCGCTGTCTCCGTCCAGAAGCTGACGAATCAGGCGCCCAGCCTGTGGGGAGAGGTGTGCTTCGTCCGAGTCCACGTTCTCCTGCTGCCACGAGGAGAAAGTAGGGATGGGCTCTGGAAAATAATGAGGGTGAGAGGTCAAAACTATTCTTTAAAGCACAATTATTTCTCAAGTTTTCTGAATGCATTAGGAAGCACCGAATTTAGGAGGCATTGAATGGTTTCTCATTTTAGATTAAAGGTTCAGACTAGGAACTCTATGCCCTGACCAGAATCACTAAATATATCTGACAGCCATCATCTACCTTCTATCTCCATCCTCACTTGCTTTCGAAAGAGAACTTGCTAGGGCTGCCCTGAGGAACAGCCTTGAAGGAGGAGAGCCGAGAGTGTATGCTTCCAACTTCCCACGCAGATCACTGACGAGAGCTTTCCATGTGAGGGCATGATGGAAAAGAAATGCCAGTGTGTCAGGGAGGGGGACATCCGGCATCATGGCTATCCATCCTTCACGTAAACAACTAAGGAATGAAGCTAAGGAATCACATTAACCTGTGGGAGCCCTTTTTTTTTTTTTGGTGAGGAGATCAGCCCTGTGCTAACATCCACCAATCCTTCCCCCCTTTTTTTTTGCTGAGGAAGACTGGCCCTGGGCTAACATCCGTGCCCATCTTCCTCCACTTTATATGGGACGCTGCCACAGCATGGCCTGCCAAGCAGTGCGTCGGTGCGCGCCTGGGATCCAAACTGGCGAACCCCAGCCCACTGCAGCAGAGCACACCCACCCAACCACTTGCGCAACCGGGCCGACCCCAAGAGCCCATTTCTTTAGGAGTCGGCACCTTCCGTTGAGGTCATTCAGTAAGGTGTTTTGTGTGCTTCTGCTTAGTGTGGTGGGATTAGCATGTTTAAGATGCATGCTTTGCACTTGAAACTTCAGAAGTTACTCAAGACTACAGTCAAAGTAAGATGTATACAGAAATTCATCAAAAAAAGAAAAAAAGAACACCTTACAAAGGACAAATCTGTATAAATTATTTTAGACAACCTTTAAGAAAATAACATACTTAGCACAAAATCCTGATTTGTCATTTTGGGAGGGAACAGGGTGATATTTCTTTCTATTTACTGCAAGACCCACCTCAATATATTCCTCTTCTCATTAAAAAAAATCCTATCTAACATATTTTAAAGATAGATCTGAGATGATGTAGGGTATTTCATTTGTAATACTCTCTACTTTAAAAAAAAAGTTATACTCTAAATACATGTGTGGATTACTGTGATTTATACAAGGCTGGAATCTGGCTAAGATCTTAAATTCTGGGATTCCAACAGTTTGATTCATGAAAGAATTGCTCCTTCAGCTATCAAGGTATTTATAAAATCTACAAAATTATCCTAAACAAGTTCTTAGTATTTTATTTAAAAAGATCATATTATAATCATAGAACATTAGAATTGGTTGAAGTGTCACACATCATCTAATCTAATGATTTTTCAACCCTGGCTGCACATTAGGGTCACACAGGGAGATATAAATAACTCCTAATGTACAGGTCCTTCCACCACCCAATTAAACAGAATTTTTATGTGAGGGCCCAGATATGCAGTGCACACACACACACACACACACACACACACACACTTTTAAAAGTGATCGAGTGATCCTAAACGCAGTCAGGTTTAAGAACCACTGATTCAACCCAACAGATTGCAGACAAGGAAACTGAAATTCAAAGAAGTTAAGAGCAAATACCTAATCAATCATAAGAGTTGGGACTAGCAACCAATTCTCCTGACCTCCGGGACAGTGCTGTAATTTAGAACGTGTCAGGTGCTTCAACATCAAAGATGACTGTCGGAAATTTTGGAAGACCCCGCAGTACAGTAGGAGAGATAAGAACATTAATTAAAAAAAAAAAAATTAACCTCATGTGGAATGAGGTACGTAGGTTCTCAAAATTTAATGAGAACCAAGTTATCTGGGAGCCCAGGTGATGATATAAATATTTTGAAAAATGAAAGCCGTGTTAAAGACAGATTCTTGCCTATTGAGTTTCAAAAAGCGGCAGAGAATCTGCTGGCAGATACACTTGGCTAAAGCTGGAGAAGAACAGGAGTTGTTTCATCATTCGTGCTAACGCTATCAGCTAGCTCCTCCTAAGTGGCAGGGCTCAGATCTGAGCAGCTCAGAACTGCCAACAGAAAAGAGTAAAAAATGGATTGAGAGGTGAGGGAAGAGAGGGTGAGTGGAAAGTAATCCCTAGAAAAATAATAAAAATGTAGTGTTAAGTTGCAGAAAATGAAACTCTTAAACTGCCCAGATTGCATCTTCCATTTCATGATATGTCATAAGACAGCAGTAATTTTCTGTAAGGACTAAAATCAGTGGAGCCAGAACAAGCAAATGGTTAAGATGGCTTGAACAGTAATGCAGCAGGCAATAACTCACTGCAGACTGACAAGGAGCAACACAACGGGGATGGGGAGGGCAAGGTGTTTTCGGGGACAGAGGACATGGCAAAACAGTCTGATGTTGATATTGGCATATGGGTGTGCTGGCTGGTTTGACATTTCTGCTCATCAAAACTTAGTTTGAAAAGGTGTTACATTAGATCCTGAAGCCCTTTAATTTGTCTGAATCTAGCAGAATCTCTCTTTAAAAATGTTACTACTAACCTTTAAGTTTTCAACTATGTGGTCTCTGTTTACAAAAAATTTTGCAGAAAGAGTGTATGTCTGTGACTGTTAACCAAACATGTCTCCAGTAGAAGATATACTGTAATCCCGAATTAACTATAAAAAACTAATCATGGAACTGAATTACGGGTGGTTGATGCTTTGTGGCTAACATGGGGCCATCCTTCAGATTTTGTTTTGTTAACACAGCTGTATTTTGTGGCTCCATTCTTGACCAATCACTTCACTGATGAGAAGACCAAATATGTCATTTTCCTAGTGTCACCAGTAGTATATATGAAATATACAGCTTAAGAAATTCTACCTTATGGGTGACATTTTCTCTTATAGTTAGCATGAATGAATTCACTTATTTAAAAATGAGAAATGTAAAATCATTATGAATTTCAACCTTAACAAAACAAAAATGGATGTTTCATCATTAGTCTGCACGTAGAACAGAAGTGAAGTTTCTCACCTATGCAACATGAAAATGCTTGTATGATTTCTTTCCTTTTATCCTAAAGTCTTATCGTTTAAGACTCCTATTCAAAAGAGGTGTAAAATTACATGTAACACATAGTTCAATATAACTAAAGAATCAATGAAACCAACTATTCCTCTATTTTAGTTTGAACTAATGTAAAAATACAAGGCTATCTCCTGTTTTGATAGTTGGCACTCAAACAGAAAAACAAGAAAGAACCAAAAAAGACCAGTGCGGTACATGAGAGTACTTCCAACAGCATTACCTGCCCAGAGAGCCAGTTTTGAGGGTGTATTCCTTCCCAATTTTGAGGGTGACATTCCCAATTGCTGGTTTGGGAAATATTTTATATTTTAACCAGTAATTTGAGAGCAATGAAACAGACAAGGATATTGCAAGAAAATTATTCAAAGAGAAAACAGAAAAGATTTGAGGCTTCAAACTGGATTCTGGACCAGTTTGTCATACATAAGTATGACATGTCTCTATTAAAAATTAATCCACCCAGGTCAGCTGACATCACAGCAGGTCAGAAAGAGAGAGAAAAGCTGTATGCTTGCTACCTGAGTAATAAAAAGAATAGGTCCTGGGGGCGTTCCAGTTCACATACTACAGCACACATGAAATAAAGGAAATTCACTGCACAAGAGGGGACATAGCTCTGACTAATGCTAATGTGGTCACTGGGACATAACTGCTCTCTGCTTGTCGGGCTGGATCCATTTACTATACAAAAGAAAATTGGCTACTGAGATGATTTATTTCTAAGAAATCTGTACAGAATTAAGGAAGCTGATGTTTTCCACATCTCATTTCCAATTATATGTTATTTAGAGTCATTACTACCTGGCATGATGTCATACTGTCTTCCAAGGAGGCTACTCAGTAGTGCCAGGAGATACTTGCACATCCCAGACATGAAAAGATGGAAGCCTCATTGGGGAGGGTCTTTACTGGGGGAATATTTTCAAAAAATTTTCATTGCTGTTCCAAATTTTAACCTTAGCACAATGGTAGTCCTATTAAATTGTTCAAGTTGTCTTGCAAACTATCAGAGTTAGAAGGAACCTTAGTAGTCAGCTTTATCAATCCAAATTTAATCCTTAAATTTCATAACCTGCTTTGCCCCTATTTGCCAATTTAATAAGCAGACCCTCAATAGCTCCACTGAAGTCATTACTAAATGTGTGGAACAGGGGAGGGCTGAGGACTTTACTAATGAGAACACCCCATTTGTGTTGACCTTGATCCAGGCACCTGCACATTTAAGTGCAGTTGCTTAATCAGTTACTAATTCACTGTCTTCTATCCCTTCTACACTTCTCACAGGCTATCATAAGTCCCTGCTAAAGGCCCAGCTGAGTACCATTTCCCAAATCCAGAGTCAAAAAGAAAGAAAGGAGGATGGTGTGACATGATTAGTCCTTGGTAAATTTGTGGAGGACCTGGTAAATACTGATTTCTCTTATGCGTTCAGAGCCATCCATGGTCATTAGGTAGAATTGGACTCCGGTTTCAAAGAAGGCAAACTTAGGCTGGTTTTTCCTGAAACTATACTTGGAAACATTTACGGAAGATGGTAATAACATCACCTAAAACCCACATAGCACCTCCTATGTGCCCGCACTGTGCTGAGCACTTCCCATATATTAGCTCATTTAATCCTTACAACAAACTTACTAAGTAGATACTATTATATACATTATTCATTATTATCTACTGTTATACCTATTTAAAGAAGGGGAAGTTGAGGCCCAAACTGAGACACTATTACTAACTTATCAACAAAGCTAGTTAAGTGTAGAGCCAGGATTTGAACCCAGGATGCCTCAGGCTCTTAACCATTATGGTCCACTGCCTGCCAGGATACTTAACTGGCACTGCTTAGAAAGAGGCATCCGAGTGGAAGTCAGAAGACTTTGTTATCTTGAATCATGACTTTGCCTCTTTCGGCCTCAGCTTTCTTATCTGTATAATGGGAGGGTTCAATTGGAAGATCTTTAAAATCCCTTGCTTCTCTCTCATTCTTTTAGAGAATTTCCTTTCCCAAGTTATTTTCTATCAGCATTAAGTGATGAATAAGATATATGAAGTATTTTACGCCTTTTAAAAAATGTTCTTTTAAACTTAATTTCGCCAAGACAAGTCTAATAGGGTAGCTGAGTGTTGAAACCGCAGCACTTCCACAAAAGATACCCCCAAATCAACATGAATTGGCTGAGCAGGAACATTCTAATTATGCAACTCTGAGGAGCTTTAACTGACAAAGAATAGTATATTTGATTTGTGTATTCATTTAATTTTGGAGAGTGGAAACCCTAATAATAATAATAATAGGGTCAAGTGGATAGATCAAATAATGTGCCCTAATACATAGAGGGGAAAAAAAGATAAAGCATGTATCATTTATCTGCCAACAAGCACAATTAGACTTTGATCCTACATGGACTTTGAGAGGGTTCCACGCCATGTAGGCCATGGAATCTACTTATCAGTTTCATTTCCCTTTTTGCTTCCCTGCTACAATATGCCCCAAAGCCAGAGAACATCATTCCCATATGGCAGCACACACCGCAGAGGCTAGTAACCAGCAGGCTGCTCATTAAATACTATCTCACCTGATATTTTATGATTCTGCACGGATGTGAGAGTGTGAACTATGGTGTGGGGACTGAGAACAAGCAAGCAAACCAAAAAGGGGTTACGCTACATGGTGGCTTGGAGACTGGTGATGGATATTGGCTCAAATGGCTCTGGTAATTATTATTTCCATTTATATATTTTATTGCCTTGGTTTCACATTCACAGTTTAAATTAGTGCAAAGTTTACTCCTTACGGAGAGCCACCATTTTATTTGTTTCTTACTGAAGATATAAAAAAAGGGGGTATTTTAGTGATTACTCTCATGTTAACTACCCTTTACACAAGAATTCCTTTATTTTGACTATACTTATAGCTATATTACTGCTATAATGTAACTTGGAAATTTAAAATAAATACATAATAAAAAATGGCCACTGAAAGCAGTAACCAAATGATCAAAACAGCCTTGAAATGAATCCATGTAAATTTTTAAGATACGCAGGTTCAATGACAAATGTAGTAATTGGCTAAAAAAGTTAAAGCAAGTCATTTCATAAGTTACATGGATAATTTCACATTCCCAAGCCTATTGAAATGTATTTTTCCCCCCAATAAGCTTTTTTATTCCATCTAGTTTCCCAATACAAAATAAAACATTGGTTCCTTCATATTATTATGATTTTTCTGGAAGAAAGTTCTCTATATTAATTAATGAAATAGTTTTAAGGAAACTACAAGTTAGACTTCAACCTCTCTGGAGAAAATTTTCAGCTTTATAGTTAGCCTCTTTAAATGTGCTGAAAGAGATTATAATCTTAAGGTTAACCAAGATAAAAATAATCCAACTGAGTCCATTTCAAAACGAGGATGAAGACTCTACCTGCCCCTTTGCTGAATAAATCATCAAGATAATGTGGCTAATTTGTATTCTGACCAAAGATCCCAGTTTTTATCTAGAGCTTTACGTTCATGATATGAGGAGACCATATTACTGAAACCCAAATATAGCATTTGTTTTGGCTACTGCTTTTTTCTTTTATTTGGATGACAGTGGCTACTATGGGACTTTTTTTCGTGGGGGGTGTTGTTTTTAATGTATGAATTAAAAACACCTGATTATTTCAAAGTACACAAAACAAAAGAACAAGACACCACCCAGGAATGTATCAAATTAAAAGCAAAACAAAACAAAAAAAACCCACACTTTTTTTTTCCCCAGTGAACATATCGTGAGCTAGGAAGGTCTGACAAAATCTCAGATCACTGCCCAATTATTGAAAAGAACTAGAATGTGTTTCTGAGATTGCAACTAGGGAGAACCAGAATAAAAATCAGTTTGTTTTTGCTTCACTAAGCCCTGGATTCAAGGAGCATACTGGAGCTATTTTTCACCTTGTAGTCCTTTTTGGATCATCTTTTGGTCCTTCATCTAAGATCATTAACACAATGATACTTTGGTTAAAAAAGGGAGGGGCAGAAGACAAGGAAACCCAGGTGCTTTTAAAAAAGGCTGGGTTTTCATAGTTGTGCTTCTCTGCCAAGTCATTGTGTTAGGCCACGCTGCTGTTCTCAACTCAGGAGTATAATCTCTCCCTCTTCGTAGCTTCAAACACACATACTGCAGAGGGGCAGATGGGCATTTATTTTGGATACACACTGATATATGCTGGATGCAGACCCACGGATAACGAAAGAATAGCAGCTTCATGGAACTCTGCTGCAACATCCTTTCCGAAACACAGTTCTGACAAAATGAGGATTCCCTCTTCTTCCTCACAAGTCCATTTCTACCATTTTTGCCAAAAATCTCTAGAAAAACCAGTCTAAAACACTGTATTATAGGCTTTCAATAAGGAGCACTTTTATTCAGTGTTCTCTTTGATAAGCAAATCCTTTATGTTAGCTAACCTGGATTTTAAAAAATCTATCCATAAAAACAAACATACAAGCAAAGCAACCCAAAATATCCTCCCTTAAAAATGGGAAGGAGACTGAATGAAGGAGGTAGATGGTTGGCGTGTAGTAGGGGAAGATCAGTTATACCGAGACGAAATCCTAAATGCATACAGGTTCCCATTACTCTGCTTGCTACTACCAGAGGGAAAACACATACACATACCAGCACTCCTACCGAGTTAAAAATTTAAAGAAGGACTTCAAGGTGACACTATAATACAGGGCAAGCACATTTTCTTTTCTTCGATTGCAATTACTCCTGGCAGTGTTTAACGTGACACATTCCTATGGCAGGGAAAGGATTATCGGGCATTTAGAAATGCAGTTACGTCTGCACGCATAGCTCTCTCTCTCACCCATACATCCATACGATTACATGCCTCTCATGTATGCTAATTTATATCTGCTTTCCCATTATTAAATCCTGCAGGCATCAGTCGACCCTACCTTCCCAGCTCTTCTCATCACACAATGCAGTCAGGTCCAGCGGGGACACTTCGGAGACAAAGCTTTCCTGCTGGTCATTGGCATCTTGGGTCCTCTGCAGCTTGGTGTCAGGTAGGCTGGGATGCTCCTGAATCTTCATTGTGGGGCTCTGCAATAACAGCACAATATCCCCAAATATCTACTGCTCACCAAAACCCAAAAATGTCTGCAGCAATTCCACTCCTTCTGGATGAAACCTCCCAGCCACAGTTGCTGATGCACCCAGCACAGAAATCACCATCATAGCCTGATGCCCCCTGGATACTAGCTGGCCACTGGCATGCAAAAAGCAGCCATCCAGCTGCGCTCCTTTAACTTTTCTTCTGTGAGAAAGACAAGGTGATTTCCTCAGGCTGCTCCTCCTGATAACTGCAGGCAGCTGACAGTCTTGAAGATTACTGATTGGGGCCAGGAATGAGGAAAGGAGTTTGTATTTCCTTAAAGGAGTATGGCTCTCCAGAATGTAAACAACAACAAACCAGCTACTGCTGTTGCTAAGGCTGTAGAAGCAACATGGTGTCTTCTGCACGCAGACTTCTTTGCCCTTTAGGTAAACAGTCCTGCGAGGCCAGAAGCAGAGGCTGTGCACACGAATGCTCTCCTGCTGGCCCTGCAGGCTTAGATCAATTAAGCGGGGCTAGCTGCACATTCCCAGATTTCCTGTGGTTGCTTTCTCCCCGAGTGTGGGCAGAACAGACTATTTATGGAGGAGCACTGGGTAGTAAAGCATTGTTGCGCAAATTCAAACAGCGCTGGGGTTTGGCGTCTCATCTCGGCTAGCAGTAAGAAATATGGACTCTGGAAATGAGCCAAAATTACACAGGGAGCATGACTTTTTTTTTTTTTTAAGTAAAAAGCCAAGAGCTGGCAAGACAGCGATGCATAATTTATATCTTGCAAATATGCAACTGTCACCTGCTTTCCTACCATTCATTTACTCTGAATATTAAATACTCAGCTACACTTGGTTTTGCCCATTGGCAGCACCTACACCAGGCTAGGGTATCTGGTGGATGGGAAAACCCTTCCCCAAAGGCTGCTATTTTAGCTAAGTGATTTTATGTAAAAAAAAAAAACTGCATTGAAATTATTTCTTTTGTACCTTGCTCTTTTGACAGCTTGCAAACCCAACCATTGTCACTCTCCCCTCTCCCATAAAATTATAAACATAAGTGTTTATTCACAAATATATTTCTCAAATAGCACAGATTTGAACCAAAGATTTTCTTTGAGAATAACTGGAAATTTGTTTTAGCAAATACACTATCATTAAATGAAAAAACCAAAAACATCTGGAAATCATAAATGATTCCATTAATGTATGAGAAATGTTCTTATGCTTAAAATAAGGCACTACACTAAGACTTCCAGCTACTTTTAATAGCTGTTCAACCCACTTTCAGATCCCCAAGGGAGTAACAGGGCTTTTACCATTACGTTTCCACGAAATGACGCATGAGGACTGGTATTTTCTTCACATTTGGGATAAAATGAAATACTGTCAATCAGTTAATGATGAGCTACTAAAGTCAGATGCCAAGTACATCTGGGGCTTTAAGATACTTTAAATATGCTGTTTGTCTATTGGGGAAAAAAAGAGATTTTGCATTTATGCCACAAAAATGATTGTTCCTTGAGCTGAATCCTAAGTGGGTCAGGGGTGATTGACCAAATCTGCTGCTCAGCTTTTTGAAAGTTACAGGGTCAAAACACAACAAATGCAGGAGAGGGTGTGGAGAAACAGGAGCCCTCATACACAGCTGGTGGGAGTGCAAACTGGTGCAGCCTCTATGGAAAACCGTATGGAGACTCCTCAAAGAATTAAAAATAGAGATGCCCTATGATCCAGCCATCCCGCTACTGGGAATCTATCCAACGAACCTGAAATCAACAATCCAAAGAGACTTATGCACCCCTATGTTCATTGCAGCATTATTCACCATAGCCAAGAAGTGGAAGCAACCTAAGTGTCCCTCGACTGACGACTGGATCAAGAAAATGTGGTATATATATACAATGGAATACTACTCAGCCATAAAAAAAGACAAAATCGTCCCATTTGCAACAACATGGATGGGCCTGGAGGGTATTACATTAAGTGAAATAAGCCAGAAAGAGAAAGACAAACACTGTATGATCTCACTCATATGTGGAATATAAACCAACACACGGACAGAGAAAACTGTATTGTGGTTACCAGGGGCAATGGGGGTGGGGGGTGGGCACAAGGGGTGAAGGGAGATATGTATATGGTGATGGACAAACAAAAATGTACAACCAAAAATTTCACAATGTTATAAACTATTAAAACATCAATTAAAAAAAAAGTTACAGGGTCAATCAATCACCAATCGCTTAATGTGTATGTCTTAGAATCTGCATATAGCAAATAAACATTTTCTCAATAAGGACTGATAACACTTGTTACACTTAGAGACATGAAAAAAGGAAGAAGAGACACGATCTCAGGTTGTAAGTATGGCATTTTCTTTATGAGGAACACGTATCAAGCCAGTGACACTGTAGCACGGTGGACCAGACATGGATTTTGCTTACTGGAGACCTGGGTTTGAAGTGTGACCAACATTTACTAGCTTCGTGCTCTGACTGGGCCACTTCACTTCTATGAGCCTCTATTTCCTATCTATAAAATAGCATTAATATAATACCAATCTTGCAAGGTTCCTTTGAGGACCTGAGAGAAGGTATGGAAGGCGTCTAGCTTGGTGTCTCAAGAATAAGACACACATGAATGGAAGCTGTTATTCTTTTTATTATTAGTAGGCACCATATGAAGATGAGTAAAACATTGCCAGATCTCAAAATACCAGAGAGAGGAGCTGTAAATGAGGCATATACACTGCAATTCGAGGTGAAACGTGCTACAACAAAGGGTGAAGCAGAGTTTTAGATGCATCACGCAAGAATATTAAAGAGCCACTCATGTTCCAGCCACGAATCAGCAACAGCAATTTTGATTTGGGGGCAGACAGTGTGAGTCAGAGGGGTCGGGGAGGAGGGCACTTCATACAGAGGGAGGAGGAGGAGCAGGCACAAAGGCAGGCCTGACAGCAGGGTACGCTGGAGCACAGCAGGAAAAGGGGTTCCGGGTGGCCAGCCCTTGGGATAGGAAGTGGGGATGGCAGATGATGAGGGTGTTGGATAAGCAGATGCTGGACTGAGACAGGCCTTGTATGCTGGCTAAATTTGGACTTTATCCTGTAGTAGATAATGGAAAGCCACTGAAGGATTTAAAAAATGGAGTAATAATGGTGAAATGTGTGTTTTCCAGGCTGAGGCCTTGCTGATGGGAATGAATGCTAGTGGGAACACCTACAGGCCTGAGAGCTGGGTTGTGCAGGCAGCCCACGTCCTCCCCCCAACGCCAGTCCTCCCCCCAACGCCAGTCCTCCCCCCATGCCAATCCTCCCCCAACACCAGTCCTCCCTCAACGTCAGTCCCCCCCAACGTCAGTCCTCCCCCCAACGTCAGTCCTCCCCCCACGCCAGTCCTCCAATGCCAGTCTTCCCCACGATGTCAGTCCTCCCCCAAATGCTAGTCCTCCCCCAAATGCCAGTCCTCCCAACGCCAGTCCTCTCCCCCAACACCAGTCCTCCCCCCCAACGCCAGTCGTCCCCCCAAACACCAGTCCTCCCCAACGTCAGTCCCTCCCAGCGTCAGTCCTCCCACCACCAGTCTGCCCCACAATGCCAATCCTCCCCCAATGCCAGTCTTCCCCACAACGTCAGTCTTCCCTACGTCAGTCCTCCCCCAACGCCAGTCCTCCCCCAACACCAGTCTTCCTCACGTCAGTCCTCCCAACACCAGTCCTCCCCAACACCAGTCCTCCCTCCCCACACCAGTCCTCCCTACAATGTCAGTCCTCCCCCCATGCCAGTCCTCCCCAAACGTCAGTCTTCCCCCCAACGTCAGTCCTCCCCCCAATACCAGTTACTGGCTCTGCTCCCTGCAGGGCCTGGGTCCCCTCAGGGCACTCAAGAGTCTTGCAGTGCTTGACATGACACATGGAAAACCCCCAAATTCCACACACACACACACAAATTTAAAAACGTGTACTTTTTATAATCGCTACATCTGAATTAGCACCAATTTCCAAGTAAGAAAATTAAAATTAGAAAATTTTTCCTTGATTTTCTTTCTTCAGAGTGTATGGATTTATTCATTCCTTCAACAACATGGTCTGGCACACCCACCCACTCCTTGCTGGGCTCTGTGTGAGACGTGCAAGCAACCTGCCCGGAGAGAGCACACAGTTCATGGAGCAGGCTCTGGTATGCTCAATGGAGTTTTGAGGACAGTCAGTTTTGGCACAGTACAACACTTGTGAATCACAGTGATCAAATGAAGTCTGGGAGTCAGGAAGGAAGGAGATGGAGAGAGTACCACCGTGGGAAGGAGGTGGAACAGGTAACCTCTGTAAGAGTCTATTATTCTAACAAAGAATCAGGTCAAAATTGTACTAGTTTATTTAGCAATATAATACATATCACGTATTATATACATATAGTAGGGCTGTCTGTTATATGTCAGGGGCTAGAGATACAAAGATAACATTTATTTGCTTATTCATTCAAGAAATAATTGAGTACCTACTGTGTGCTAAGACAGTTTTTTAGACACTGGGGAAACTTCAGTGGACAAAATGAAGTCTCTGCCCTAATGAATCTTACAGAAGGGGACAGTTAATAAAGAAAAAAAGTCAGGTAGTGATATGGACTACGGAGAACACGAAAGCAGGGTAGGGTAGATGATGGGCAGGGCCAAGCTCTGCTATTTTATATTGGGTGGTCAGGGAAGGCCTTTCCAACAAGGCGCCATATGAGCCGAGTCATGAAGGAAATGAGGGAGTGAGTCATCTGCAGAAGAGCATTCCAGGAAGAAGGAAAGCACGTGTAAAGGTCCTGAGGTCATTTTGTACGTTTGAGGAATAGCAAAGAGGTCACTGTATCTGGAGTCAGGGCCACCATATAGGGGTGTTTAGAATGGTGTGCCACATATAATGGGGAATCATTCATACTATAGATGTATGTTAACGTACACGAGCTTCTGGACCTGCTGGCTGATTTCCTACACTGCAGTGCAGAGGGG